AAGCCAAACAAAACAGCTAAAGAGGCAGTTATTGTAGAGCTATCATTGAAAAGCGTATCACTAATCTTCAATGCTACTGGTTCACCGCCTTGTCCTCTGTGGACGCTGGGTAGCTTGTGACCGTTTTTTGCTCGGTATGACGCAACAGCACTTCAGAACCGCTGATACATTTGGGCTAGCGTTTAATGAGTACGATTGCACGGTTGGCTTCTTTTCGGCTATATAACGCTACTTACTGTGCGGATTGAGGCCAAAATGTGCCGCCAGCGGATTTGGCGCCGGGAACAACGTGTTGAACATGGCGGCATGGCTGGTCGAGCCGCTTCTTGTTGAAGGCGAGCCATCTCGTTAGCTGCCCATTCCTTCAGGACCTGAAAAGAAGGGACATAAGCGTAAAGTAATTTCTAGGTCAAATGCCATCATACGAAAATGAAAGTGGAAAAACAGCTATAACAGCCTGCAGCTCACACAGCTCACAGCTAATGGAGCACGGGGCGCTACTTCGCCAAGTATGGACGCCTTTTTTCAGCCAATCGGTACTGGCTGCAGCCGCGAAATGCGACCTTTACCATATGGTACTACCACTTTCAGTTCCTATTTCAAAAGAAGAATATCAAACCTTATCGATCGATCCAGACAGCGAGTCGATGATTTCGTTCTTGAGTGTTTGTGCCAGCTGCGTAAAGTCTCTGGCTCGAGCCTTTTCAGGCGCCTAAACAGATTGCTGAGTGCTAGGTATTTCAAACAGCAACGGCAACTCGAATACTCACAATTTCCACTGACGCTTGCTGGTGAGGCGGTGGTGGCGGAAAGAATTTCTTTTGCTGTTCGATAATGTTATTGTAGAGTTTCCGTTGTGTTTCGAACATTTCATGAAATTTCAAGTTCGGTTGACTCAATTGCGATTGGAGGGCGCTGAGACCGTCGAACTGCCGACTGTTCTCCGGCTCTGGTTTGTCGTCGTTTTTGGCTACACTGTCGTCGCCGGTGTGAATCTCGTGCGAAGGGACCTCATCATCATCTTCCTCATCTGGATGTTCAATATCTTCGATGTTCTTCTGTGGTTGGAACGACTTTCGCTTCGACGAAGACGACGTGGACGCCGTTGAGTTGGCGCTTTCATTGCTCAATCGTGGCTCGGTAGCTGCGACGTCGTCACTAACCAGTTCAGTTGCCTAGAAAGTACATCCTTACCACTCCTTTCGAGACACACATAAAATCGACCAACAACTAATCAATACTGTGGAAAGCAGTGATCACAATGGTCGGTGGGTGGTACGGTTTTGATGACGTCATGGCACACCATTGGTGGACAAATCCTCTGCGCGCTAGGACGTGTGGCTGGTACCGCCCACCACCAATGACGTCCAATGGCGTCATCAAAAGAGCAGCGTCCTCCAGCTATCGTGATCCTTGCTACCCAAATAAGCCAACCCAGAATTACGTTCCTATCTTCACATGGGAGCTCCAGAAAACCAGAGCTATAAAGAGAGGCCTGCTAGTCTTTCGGCATGGAGCTATGGGCGAATACTCAAGTGGGAGTTCAAATATCATAGACGCTCACGGAAGTAACGACTAACCCTTTGGAAACTGGAACTGCTCGAACTAAATACTCCACCCTAGTTGAGAGAAGTTTAGGCTTTGACCTATTAGAACAGTGAGACACTAATGTGCGAAAATCGATTATCGATCCATCGACTTGTATTCTCACCTGATCTTCGGCTGTCTCGACGTCCAATTGATCAATGTCATCGGATGTGTCTGTTAGTTCCATTTTCTGAAAATGTTATGGAACTCTTGAAGTATCACATAAGCAATTTCAAAATCAAGCCATATTTTCAACTAAATACTGGGAATTTACATCTTGAATAAATTTGTTAATATTGAATGTTCGAACATGTCCCTGAGTGTGATAGCATCCTGTTTTTTTTTTTTCTAATGGGAATCGGTAGCTGCAAGAATATTAGGACGAAAATGAGAGCAAAAAATTTGATTAATTACTGGTTGGGAAGAAGCATTTCAAAGTTGAATCGCTGTTTTGCCTCATATGCCAAAAAACGGGTCGCTTTTTCCGAAGCGGCGGAAAACGCAAACAGTGCTCAACTGATGCGAAAATGATCGTTATCAACCGAGTAGCTGCTAAAGAGAAATTTCTGACGGAATTGTCGACTACAGTGTGTGAGAATGCTGTGAGTAATCTCTCCATACGTCCGAGTAAGTTGCTGTAATGAGATATAGACACACGATTATGCAACGAAGAGATTGTCGACGACACCGCCACCGCCGCATTGCCTACGACGAAGTTCCGGCGAGGATTGGCCGAGTTTTCACCGTCGATGACAACTAGTTATAGGTTAAGGCGATAGACGATTCGAAAGCACCGAATTAAGATTTCGCTGACTCGATTTCAATGGAAACACTACGCCAACATCATCTTGTCGCGTCTTTCGCTCATTGGGGAGAAAGTTAGGTGGACGTGAATTGTGGTGCGACCGTATCATCGCCCGGAGATCAATTCCTGTATGGCGAATCTCAATCTATCTCACCCAGGGCTTTCCCGGCATCACCTAAAGAGGTTTTTTACCGTAAAGGTTGATGGTCGGGAAAAGGAAAAATTTTATTGCAGTAGGAAGAGAGGCTAACCCTGCCGGGTGCAGAAAAGCAATTCACCGCGAAACGTGATATTGCTCTTGGCGAACAAGCATGGCCCTCTTCGCTGCGCCGCTAATCGTGCGACCACGCCCACCGATTGCTTAACCCATCTCGCCGCTGTCATTTAAGACCGTTCGCAGAGAGCGTTAACAGCTAGATTTTTTGGGCTCAAGTACCTGTTCTAATGATTTTCTTTTTCCAGCCACGCGGGCTGAACCGCTCCTGGATTCGTTCTATATAACATTGCTGACTGCAAATTCCGCCTTCAATTGGTAAAAGACTTGGCTAAAAAGGAAAAAAAGTTGAAAAAAGAACTGCGCTCCTTACTTACACTGCTTTCCTCCGTTCTCCCCCTTCCACCTAATTGTGGTGTAATCATGGTGTGAGTCAAAAGGCACTATGATTCTTGATGGAGGATGTTATTACTCTTTCTTCGTATTCTGCTCATTCAGCTACCGTAACAAAAGTTTGGAAGTCTCACTACAGTTCCAAAAAAAACTACTAGTTCATTGGACCTGCTTCATTCAGAAAAGTCTGCTGCGAGCTGCTGAGAGCTATCGCTTCAGCTAACTGCTTATCTCCTGGACATGTAACTTAACACAATAGGTATTCAGCTTGATGTAGGATACAGCGTGACTCCATAAATGACAGGGAACATGAATACGGGTGTTTTTGTTGAGCCATAGACACATTCAATACTTCTTTCTATTCTGACCATAGAAAGAGTGCATGACGCTAGGAGGCTGACTAGCAACACCTCGGGCCGTATCCTATCCTTCTCTC